TTCATTGTGCAAGTTCGCTAATGGATCCTCCACCGGGTTACGATTTGACAATGTGTTAGTCGGAGACCGTCTATTCGGAAGTTCTCCGGGCTGATAGCCCAGAATATCGGATACTATCTCCGATTTCAATCGATTGGCATTAATAACGAAATTTAAAGCGTTTGTTATCGAACAAGACGTAATTTTGAACAAAAGAACTTTAAATCTTTTGAAAAAAAAAAGTTAATTTAGAATGTCTCAACTGCCTTGATCAAATTTGACCTAGTTACTTTCGAAAAATCGATGAAATCGAATTTTTCGAAATTATACGTGCTTGGCAACGAAGATTATATCTCAGCAACGGTCCTAGGGGACACCTATTGGTACAGAAATGATCAGGGTCGAATTTTTTTTTTATTTTCTGTTCTCCGTCTCTGTTCTCCGTTTCTCTGTAGATTCTGCATTAATTGGTCATAACTTTCGAACGGTTTGACGTGCCCTGTTCAAATTGGGCTCCTTTTAATAAGCCCACGGAACACACAAGTCAGTGAAAAAAGGCCTCGATCGGACCTCGGAGTCCATCTTTTTTTGATTTTCGGGTGTTTTTTATATTCCTATGAAACACGATAACTGTTCGAAACTTGAAGCTATCAACTTCATTTGGCATACATAGGAAGCTTCGCTTCCTGACGGAACATATTGAAATCGGGAGGGCCTGGGAGGTCTGGAAGTATTTAAAAAAAAATAAAAATCGGGTTTGCAGGGGTCTAAGCAAAAAATCGTTTCTCGAGAACGGTATATCCGATAGAAAAAATTCTTCAACGCGAAGATGCAAAAGATTCGGCTCTATAAAATTTTATTCCCGAAAATTTTTCAAAAATGTATAGGGTGCAGCAAATTCAAAAAAATTGAAAAATGGGTCCCTCTATTATTGAGAATTGGGTATAACCGAAAGACTTCGGATGTCAGTTCATTTTACATGGTGATGTTTATGTGGGCTATCATAAACAGCTAAAACTTTTGCATTTAAGGTTTTCACCTGTGGCACAGGGTGTTCAAGATGTTAAGTGCTATATTCAAAAAATAACAGGTGTCTTAAATTTGCTGCTATCGACTTCACATTTGGCAGAAGGGTAGGAGTCCACACCCGTATTTCATCCATTGAAAATGAACTCACTTAATTTTTGAATTTTTTATGGCATTTTGACTTCCGGGAAAAAATATTTTCTCGAAAACTATTAACTCGATCAACAAAATTTTGTGAACCAGGAAAGGCGGGAGATTCGAGACGAAAACTTTTTTTAGAGTCTTATTTTTATTATCTACAGGGTTTTTCATTTATATGCAAAAATCTAAAAGACCCTGAAAATCGTTCTTTTCGCTATTATTATTATTATTAGCCGTAAATCAAAATTCGTGAAAAATATGGTCAATTGGTCCAAAGAGTGTTATAGATCACATCAAGGGCTAGAATTTTCGTATATTCGGTTTCAGCATGTAAGCTGTTCGTGATATTTGAAAAAAAAGTATTTTCTTGAAGACCACTTAACTCTATTGAAAAAACTCATATACCAGGAAACGTGGGAGATTCAGGGCTGTAGTCTCTATTTAGAACATTGTTTGAATTATACAGGGTGCTTCAAAAAAATGTATACACACTTTAAACTATTGTAGTTTTCTCGCTCTACAAGGCTAATGTTATATTTCTTCGCCAGGTGCCAGCATAATCGTCCCTCTATGTTATATTATCAGTTGGAATTTGTAATATCAACATGGGGAACGTACGTTTTTTTGAAGAACGTAAGCAGGTTATTAAGTGGTACTGGAAGTTTGAGAATGTAAATGAAGTTCAAAGACAGTGGAGAAGGGAGTATGATACAGAACCACCTTCAAGATTAACAATTACACGCATACGAGACAAATTCGAAGTTCATGGAACAGTGTGTAATGTGCATAAAGGTCATTCAGGTCGGCCTCGAACAGCTACAAGTGATGAGTCATCAACGGCAGTCTTGGAACTGTTTCAACGCTCTCCTAACCAATCTTCAAGGCAAGGGGCACGTGAAAGTGATGTAAGTGCTAGCAGCGTGCTACGCATTCTGAAGAGAGGCAAATATCGTGTTTACATTCCAAGGCTGGTGCAACAGCTAAATGACGACGATCCAGATCGAAGGTTGCAATTTTGTGAATGGATTCAGGATATGGTGATACGTGAACCGGGATTTATGGGTAGCATTATTTGGTCGGATGAAGCCCAATTCGAACTTAATGGAACTGTCAATAGGCACAATTGTGTTTACTGGGGTGAAGAAAATCCTCACATTACAATTGAAAAAGCTGTAAATTTGGCTGGTGTGTGGTGCGGTTTGTCATTGGACCTTTTCGATTTGAAGGCACTGTAAGTGGTATTAATTACCTAACAATGCTTGCTGATTGCATATTTCCTGCCATTCGTGCATTATACGGTAATGATGATTTTTATTTTCAACAAGATGGTGCTCCGCCGCACTATCACAGGGACGTACGAGCTTACCTGGATCAAAATTTGTCGGGCCGGTGAATGGGACGCAGGGGGCCAATCGAGTTTCCAGCACGCTCTCCAGACCTTACACCACTGGATTTCTTCTTGTGGGTCACAGTAAAAGATGAGGTGTACAAACGTAAACCACGTAACCTAGACATTCTTTGGAATGAGATTCAAGCAGTGTGTAGAGAAATCTCATTGGACCTTTTGATACGATGTACAGAATCAGTGGTGACTCGTACTCAGAATTGTATTGATGCTGCAGGTCACCAATTTGAACAGTATTAACATTTGTTATTTATGTTTCATTTACATTGGACTTTCAGCTTTCTATTTTCCTGGAATTTAACTTTGTAGAACGGTAAATAAATTTTCTATGGAAGTTCAAAGTGTGTATACATTTTTTTGAAGCACCCTGTATACAAGGTGTGTCGTTTATGGGCAAAAAAATCTAAAACTTCCTAAAAATTTCGGTTTTTGTGGGTAAAATATTGGTGATAAATGAAAAACTGCTAAAAATTCGATTATTTGGTTTGAACAATGTCGTAAACTCTGTCGAGAGAGAGTTTCGGGTTTCATCAATTATACAGAGCACGCGAGATATTTGAAAATGCATCATTCGACAACGCTATTATTTGTACAAATAGTAATATTTAACACAGTTTGTCGTAACTTTAAAGTTCAGCGAGACTTGAAAGACATTTTTCAAAGTTAAAATCTGTTTCGCGCTACTTGCTACGAACTTGCCCCGCCCATTGACGACGATAGGGGACCTCCATTGGTACACAAATAATGAGAGTTGAAAAAAAAATTTTTTTTTTATTTTCTGTTCTCCGTTCTCCGTTTCCCCGAAGACCTTGATTCGCTACATCTTTTGAACGGTTTGCAACCCTGCCTTCAAATTTGGCTCCTTTTCACCCGTGCACGAGCTACACAAACCAATAAAAAATGAGTCCAATCAAACCACGACATCCATCTTATTTTTTTAGATTTTTGACTGTTTTTTGGATATTGCTGTGAAACACGATAAGTGTCCGAAATTTGAAGCCATTTGAAGACGAATAGGCCCCCCAACAGAATCTATTGAAATTGGGGGGGTTGGGGGGTCGGGAAGTATTTAAAAAAAATCGCGTTTGCAAGGGTCCAAGAAAAAAATAATTTCTCGAAAACGGTTTAAAATTAAGGGACATCCGGTTTCGAGATTGTGTTCGGCAACTACTGATGAGTTTATTTTTTGTCTTTGACTGATCGAAGATGTTGAAATATTTTCGGACAAGTGGAAAATCTAGTTTTGGCGGTATATTTGTTAAGAACTTTTGGTATGTGGTCAGTGATGTTTTGAATGTTAGGAAGGGCAACATGGACAAGTGATGGGTTGTAATTTGTGATGGAATGCTTAATATCAAATATGTATCTAAAAATGAGCGATTATTATTAGTTTCCAATTCAATCCTAAAACGTATGTAATTTATGTAATTGGAAAGGAAATCTGGTAGGGATTCTTGATCCTGAGGCCAAATAATAAAAAAATCATTAATTTAGCATAACATGATAACGGAGAACCCATAGCTGTTGCCGACGTTTGTTAAATAATGTGACCCTTGTAAAGGGAACCCTGTTTCAGACAAGCATTTTTCAATTAAAATGAGAGGGTAGTAATTTAAAGTAATGTTGAGAGTTTCAGGAATGGGGATTTTATTAAACAGGGTATCCTAAGGTAATGGTTTTCCCTGTAAAGGGTTGTAATATAGAAAGCTAGATATTTTACTAGAGAATGTGTTGCAGAACCAGTGGTGCTGATTTGTGGATCTTAGGAAGTCCGTAGAAAAAAAATTAGAGTCATGATGGGTGACAAAATTTTTCGCCGGTTGTGATAGAAAAGAAACCTTAACAGATTTAAGATTGAGTTCCGTAGGTGACGTAGGATTTGCCCATAAGAATAACGTGAATCTTTTTCCTGATATCCATTTGTGTTCATTTAGGCCATTTTAGGTCTTATAATATCCGAAACAGTGTTCATGTCCCCATGCCCCGCCTTTAGCTCCGCCTACTCAAGCGATATATAAGCAAGTATGGAGTACAATGCGAGCCAGTTTTAACTAAGCTCTGAAGAAACCCACAGGATGGCTGGCGAAATGTTAGCAAGTTGGACTCACCAACAACCGACGCAGGAAGAATCCAGAAGTTTGTAAATCGCATTACAGTAGCCTGTGAAAGTTTCTTTAAAAAATCAAATTTTTATTGCTTTGTTGAGACGTGACGACAGTTCTGTTCACATAAAACATGGTATTAACCGTATTTTAATTAGTCCAATAACTTTCACCGAGTAATATAAATGACCTTTAATAACCGCATTCAATATTCAATATTGATCAGGGTTTAATTTATTTCATGAAGAAGGCTAATATTGCCAGCATTGTTAAAAATTAAACTGGAAACGCCAACTTCTAAAGGGGGACTTCATTTCGTAACGTTAAAATGTGGTTCTCTTTTTCAGAGTCTTGTATTGCACCATTGGGAATGGAGTCGGGTGGAATTAAGGATGCTGCGATTTCGGCCAGCTCAGCTTACGACTCCGGCAGCGTCGGACCTCATCATGCAAGGTGACAATTACAATTGGTATAAAATACTGTAACATTTTTACTGCCCCCGTATCTCGATAAAGGAACAAATCCTTAAGGAAATATTCTGCGTTCTAAGTAAAGATAGCTCTAATTTCATTTTAGCGGTGTATCATTGGTTAAGTAAAAAGGGCAGTAGGTGGGTTAATGGATAAACTTCTAATTTGGGTTTGTTATTGCAGATGGTACAGCTGTTTCTCATTAGCTACAGACATATTTATATGTTGGTGCTAACGTAGATTAAAGTGACCAATAAAATACTTGTAGTTGAAAAATTAATTTTTATAACTTATTGATAACTATAATACAACCTTGTAGGGAATCAAATAGTTCCTCCAACTTTTTCCTCGCATCGAAATAATTTTGAAAAAATCTCTCTAGCCTTGTTTGATCCCAGTGATATATGGTTCGATTTATTTTATGTACCATTCTTTTTTACCATTTAGCTGGTAATTTTATAGGCGCTTATTGCCTACAACGAGCAACATTTGAATAATGCTTCCTATTTTAATTTGTACTGTTGTATTTTACATTAGCGATCAGGAATTATTATAAGTACTAACATAGCATTTACTTTTGTGTAGTCGTTGTATTTTGTTAATACTGATCTTATGATGAAGTTTAGATTATCAAAGTTGGATCATTTTTCCTAAACGTCCCGATTGTGCCATAAAAAACATAACGTAAAGTTTTTATTTATCAAATTTTGTAAAATCGATATTTTTTAAAAATGAATGTGTCACTTGATTGCATTTTTTCTCCTGATTTCAAATATATTTGAGTCGTTAGCGTTATTTTTGACAGATTTTGAAATATCGCTAGTTTTATGTAATATTGGAAGGAAGCCAATAACTGTTGTTACATATGGTGCCCTGTCCCGCTGCTATACTATATTTGGAATCACAGCAAGAGAGATTCTATTTTAAATCGAAGGAAATCTCAATATCTATCGAACCATCTACCTGTTTTTTTTGTTGTTTTATTTGGAATCACTCTGTGAGGATATAATCTCTTATACTTATTGCTAGCGGTAGTTTGATTTCGATTGCATTTTAAAATACCCACAAAATGTTGCGTTAATGATATTTTATTATATAATGACAGTTAACTACGCCAGTTGCCATAACAACAGCTATCATGGCTAATGTGATTTTTGAAACAATAGTTATTGACTTCCTTCATATAGCTATTAGACATATAGAGGCCCTACTGACGCTGACGCTACAGGAACTCATGAAGCATCTATGTAAATAATTGTTGAGGAGGTCCATTTTACTTGCGCATGCTCGAGATTTAAAATTTCGGCTTTAACCAATGGCAGCTCTAATTGCAAATTGTAAATTCAATTGCAAAGTCGAACTCACGCTGTTAGCAGTCTGAATATAACCTTGAGATGCTATTTATCGCACAAGAAACATCAAAGCGGAAAGAATGTTCAAGAAGCAGCTTCTATAAACAAAACGCTCATTCCTTCGCCGCAAGTATAGTAATTATATAACTATGAAAAGTGACAAAGGGCAATTTGTTTAAAAAATTGTAGGTTTTTTAAAAGAATAACCAAAAAACTTGAAGACTATTATAAAACAAGTTAGTGTTTTGGAATTAAAAAATTAATATTGCTAGTACTTATTATTTAGCACTTGAAAGAACCATCCTCATTTCTCTCGTATTCTAGAATTACGATTATGGATGTTTCTTATACGTTCGCAAAACATATGCATGGTAAAAACATTTTTGCAGAAAATTCAGCCATATTGTATCACAATTTAAAATTTAAATTGACCAGTAAATATCTGGGTAAGTCTATTTTCCAGTTGGTTAAATGAAAAATAATATGCTATTAGGTCCTCATATTTGCACACATTTGCTGTAACATTATTGAAAGCACAAAATATACGAGTTTGCGCGTGGGACTAATATTATATATAAACCATCTTTAATTTTTTTAAAAAAATTACCTTGTACTTATGGCAACTTAGCCGTGTACAGGACATTCTTTTCCTTACAATTTTGACCACAAACACAAAATTTTTCAGTGGGTGGGCATTTTTATCACAAAAACACAAAAAAGGTACGGAGATATTGATGAAATGAAAACAACAATGGCACAGGCCACAGACTTCCTTACATCCGATATTAGAAAAAATACGCGATCATTCAAAATCCATCAAAAATAACCCTGACAACTCATAAATCAGGAGAAAAAATGCAATCGATTGACACATTGGAATTCAATTCAGGGTATTCAATTAGAAAAAAATGTCGACCTTTAAAAATTTGACAGATAAAATTTTTATTTTTGATTGCGTTCCAAATTTGGTAATTTAAACTTCATCGTAGGATCAATATTAACAAAATTATCCATTTGGAAATTTATAATGAAACACACTGCACTAACAACATATAAACGATAAAATTGAACTGAAATCAGGAAGAATTGCAGTAAAAATAAATTATAATTATTTGACTTTGTTGATAAAATATTTTTAGGTGCATAAAAAACTTCGTATATAATGACTTGTAGAGTCTTGTATATTGGAGTATTGTTTTAAATTATAAATTCAAAATATTCGATTTGGTAATCGATAACTCTCGATAATTACGATGCAGAGACCAGACTGGGGCGTCCAATTATCAATAATTGATGCGACGTCGTAATAATTAACGTCGTCAAGATTTATATTAAATTTATCGTCGGGGCGGCGGCGGGTATCGATTTTGCCGGAAACGCCACTGGGTCGTTCAACCAGGTAAAATGTCAAAATCGGGAGACATGTAGGAAAAACATAGGACTAAAAGCGTTTCCAGATCGAATAGAAAATTGCCCAGGGCTGCGCCCTTTAAAATGGGATCGTTGTTCCCGATGTCGATCACCGAAAAAAAAGCGTAGCGGCCGAGGACTGCAATTTTGAGAATTTTTACGATGTGATTTTCCAACGACGAGAAACAGTTTTTTTGTACAAGAATGATACATTGATGGATTGACTGAGCCCTGTATTGCCTTTTTTCTCACTTATATAAATAGATAAATCGATACTTTATTCATCCTGACCATATATAAGTGTTCTATGTATGTATGTAAATGTATGTAAATATACTTAACGTGGCCAGTTTAATATATTTCATCAGTCATCAGAGCCCCTTCAGTTGCTGAATCTGTTTAATTTGTTGGTTATTAATTCCTGCGCGGATAAGTTCATGTTTATCTCATTTGCTGAATATACGATTAGATGTTCTGAAGCTTTTTTATTTCGCCCTTTTTTAATCCATAATAGCATACGGAATTATTAACTGGTGAAAGGAATCCCAAGTAGATAAATACTGATGGCGCAAAAAAGAGTCGTTAGATTTATGACCAAGAAGAGTCAAGGAATCAAACTTTTCAAACCCCTTAAAATAGTGTCTTTTACATCATATATCTATATTCTCTTTTATTTTACACAAGGGAAACACAAACAAAAACTCGTTAGAGCCTCTAATCATGATCTTAAATAGCATTTTTTTTATAGAAAGAGCCTGATATGCTTCAAGAAAGAAGCCAGGGATTTTGTCAAGTAAAAGAGATTTTACTTGCTAAAAGACGATTTTATTTAGTCGCTAAGTGGCTTATGTACACTTGCTTGTTCGGGTTTCTCTCCATTTTTATTGCGTATTTCTTAAATATGTTAGTAATATGTCTTTTTAATTTTTACTTTATATCTGGATGTATATATAGATATTTTGTAAAAGAATCCACTTGTGTGAATGCACACTCTAATCATCAGAATAAGTTAGGTATTGTGTTTCAAGCTCAGCATTTTTCAGATTCAGCACAAAAAGGAAGTATGCTAACCTTGAGGCGCCCCGCACTCACATAACATCGCCTAACCCAACATATTGTTTCGTTCCTGCCGATTATCACAGCCCTATAGTTTTAGTTTGAAAACTGGTATTATATAGTTTTGGTACGCTGATTTGAAAAATGATAAAAAATGATATTTTAAAAACAATTTATTTCTTTATTCAGTAAATAAGACTTTTTGAGTGAAGTCTTCGTTTTTTTGCCAGAAAGCTGCGTTGTCCGGACATTCGGCTATGTGTTCTTAAGGGTATATCCCGTTCTAACATCCAGCAGTTGTCCGCCATTTCCTTAATGTCCTGGTAAAAGTTCTCTCCCTGTTTTTCGCCAAATACTCTCAGATTTTCAGAAAAATAGTTTAACTGTGAAAGCAGCAACTGCTTTCTGGACGATCAAAGTGTTGTAACATATTTTGAACAATACTTTCGTAGTTTTCGACCCAGGAGTTCCCAAGGTACTCATCAATTACTACTTTAAATGAAACCCGGGCGTTTTCCTTGACATTGGTCATTGTGTTTTGATAATCCTTATCCTTTTATAATGTCCTTATCTGCGGCCCAACAAAAATACCTTCTTTTATATTGTCATCAGATATGGCTGCAAATTTCTGGCACAAACATTTGAAACACTGTCCATTTTTGTCAAGCGCTTTAACAAACTGCTTTATCAAGCCAAGTTTGATATGAAGAGGTGGCAGCAAAACTTTTTTGGGGTCAACTAATACATTTTTATTACCATGTGTAAGGCTTGTTCTACAGAGCCCTCCTGTCCTATCTCTTGCTCGACTATCCCACTCATTAATAAATCAAAGAAATGTTGTATGACCCCACCAGTTGTACCAAGAGTATGCACAGCAGTTCTTTTTACAAAACTTCTGAGTTTCAGTTAAGCTCTGAAGAAGTCAGCAGGATGATTGATGATGACAAAACCCGACGCAGGAGGAATCAAAAAGTTTTGTAAAGAGTATTACAGTAGCCTGTGGAAGTTTTTTTTGAAAAATGTATAACGGGAATCGAGGCTAGTTCATTACCATTGTGCAATAAAACGCCTTTTAAACTAGGTTCACTACTAGGAGCCTTTCTTTTTTAATTTTTAAACTAAGTCAGGAATATTGTTGGAAAACACTAGCCGTTCTTCTTAAGTA